TTTCGGAAGTGGACATATTTGCAAAAAACTGAATATCAAATTACGGTACTTTTTATATATGGATCCATCGTATCCCCAATATCTTTGATACGAATCGTGAATTGGTTTTATCAGATTTTTCGATCCTTTTCTTTCCTTATATGAAATCACGTACTAATATTTTTTTCAATTTCATAATAGAAAAATCTATCTACCTCACTTTCAATTTTTGTACATGATGATATCAGTTATAACTTTTCAACGTTGGAAATTTGCTCTTACTGTCAATGTATGGAGAGTCATGAAATAAAGCTTAACATCAAGCCATTTAAGCTAAGAAATTTTTCACAAAAAAACCGTGGTAGATTGGACTAAACGTGTTCAAAAGCGATTTAGACCTGCTTAAACGATGTACGTGCTACTAGCGATGTATATCATCATAGCAAATTCGTGCAACATTTCTGCTATTTAATGGCTTAATATATCATTTTCCAGCACGATAATCAGGAAACTTTTTGTTTATTTAAGAGACCAGCTAATGCATGTCAAACACTCGAATCCCAGAAAGATGTCACGTCCTTTGATCCAAAAACCCTCTCTAGCCAGCTCTCAAAAGCAAATAAAACGAAAAGTTGAGGGACAGCTCGCTCTATTAGCAACAAGTGTGCCCCTAACCTGGTCGATAGACCCTCAGCTCGTTCTTTAGCTTCGTTCGAGAACTAAATGAATTATTTATAAAGAAATTACGGTTTTAACCTTGTTTGACGGTATTTTGGACCCCAAATTGCTTGCCAGTGGTAACCGGTTTTTATTACTTCTGAATACATAAAAGTCCGCATAAACGTCGTTTGCCGATAAACGAACAACGTTTTTAATTTGTATTAATATTATTCATGCCATACAAGTTCGGGAGCGATTTTCGAAATAATTATATTTCACATTCTAAAACATTCTCACATTCTAAAATCGTTCTAATATATGAAATATATGAAAATAACTTTTTAGATTGATTTTATTTACGTTTGCTCGCTTTGGAATGGAAAGTTGGACGCAGCATCTGCATGACATTCCAACCAACTGAAGCAATGTTTAATTTTAAAAGATTATCAGGTATTTTCAATAAAATTTAAAGTTTCCTAAAATAAAGCATTAGTTGAGTAAACGTTTATTTTAACTCAGTTTTCCAAATAGAATATCAGGCTTTTATTCTATATCTTGTTTTTCATTAAAAGGCGAGTACAAATGTTTAACAATGTAGTAGCTTAAAGCTTAAACAAATTAGCTTGATTTTTGGACTTCCCTTGGACTTTGAATTTTTGAAAATAAATGGCTCAGAATAATCAAGTTCCTACCTACTTCTGATTTGACCAAAACTGTTCAGTTCATCAAATCTTCTGAATATGAATTTTCAATAAATAAATTTCAATTTTACCAGAAAGTTTCTTACCGCGAAATGTATTTTTTTCTTACTGCAAAATGTACACACAAAACGAAATTTTGTCAATAACATGTTCTAAGAGCCAGAAATAAATTAAGTTAATATATTTTCTAGGTCCCGTTTAGCAACTCTTACTGATGATAAAACGCTTCAAGCATTTAAAGATATTCAAATGAAATTTGAATTTATAGTTTAACATTTTAAAACTCGCTTCCCACATCTGATTGTAAAACTAATATATCGTATTTTAAGTAGCATGCTAGTGATTTACTAATTGACTAAAGAAATTGCCTTTTAAATCTGATCAAATTTTGCTGCTGATGCTTATTGTACTATCTAAAAAAAATGTCCATATATAAAAGGTACAGTTCAATTTGTCGTTAGGAGAGTTTTAATATGTTTAAGCCGCAAAAGGAAATAATTATTATTTGCATCCATAACATGAACTTTAAGATCAAGTATATTACATAGTGGGTATAATGTAGTAATAAAAATAACACGCACAATAAACGAAATCAAAATAGACTCTCCAGCAGAAACTGCTGACGGTCACTGTAGACAATATACACAAAATTAATGTTAACTCATTAGAAAATATGTAGAGAATAACTGTATTATTTTTCCTATCCCTATTTCTCTACAAAGCCAAGCCGCCAAACTTCCCGAAAGTAGATAAACTCTTGAAAACTCAATTAACAGTTTGCATTAGACTAGCAACAAGTGCTCCTTTAGAACGTCTATAGACTGTTCTGTTTTGTTCTCTGTCTCCATTCCAGAACAAAGTAAATCATTTGTTATAAAATTCTGGTTTCAACCTTGTTTGGCGGCCTTTGAGGCTCGAACTGCCTTTAGAAAGAAATCGGCTTTCGTTTTTTTTTAAGTCAAAGCATTTAATATTGCCAGGGAAGAGAAATTTATACTTCTTGGAAGAACTTGTTAATATAATTTTCATTGTGTTTTACCGCTTTCCGCATGTAATTCCAGAATAAAATTCGCCACTTTCCCCAGTATTGTATATTTTCTTTTGATAATGTGGGATTTGGTTTTTTTCATTCCAATTATCTCTGGAGATGTGAAAAGGAAAATGTACGAGAAAATGCTATAACAGTAAATTGCTTTTGACGGTGTTTGAATAACAGTATATGGTTTGTGCCGATAAATGGCAAATTTAAATTCAATCAATCCATGAAAATTTATCATGGAGCTGAATAAAAAGGCGACAATAAGAATATGCATCTATTCACAATACACTTCACTGTGCCGGTTACAATATGTTTCATTTTACTCACATTCGAAATTGAATCGAACTGTAGCAGATATATATGTATATTTTGCGCATTTTCAGATAAAGAAATATTCAGCCAATTTAAAAGGTAACAAAAAATGTAAAGTGATGATGATTGAACTACCTGTTCGGGTGATTGCTAGTACGTGGTTGATTAACCCTTTAACTTCCATTCAGTAGCTTAACTAATTAACTTAAGACAAATAAATATTTATTTTTTGTAATTATTTTAGGTATTTAATGTATCTAGTTTCGTATCAATTAATATATTAAAATAGTTTGAGGTTTTGGTAAATGTTCAGATTGAGCAAAATGAGTTATTCACGTTTTTAACGAGATTTTTGATTGAAATATATTTATTTAATACATAAAATTCTAATACATTTTTGGATATCATCATAATTTATTTACCGAAATTATTTCTACACACTAATTGTTTTTTCAATTCGCGCTCAATTATATGTCAATGTATATTTTTAAAATATGTTTTTCCTTTTGTTAAAAGTTTATTCAAATATAATTTAGCGCGCCAAAGCTGCAAAATTTTACTCCCCTTGAATTCAAATGAATTCCGCAATTTAAAATTGCGGAATATTTACATGCTTGAAAGGGCGACGTAATTAAAAATTGCCACCGCCATTCTTAGACGGGATTAAATTAAACATTCAAGCTTAATTCCTCTGTCATTACAGTACATTTAATGCCATTAGGATTTCAAATCTTTAGCATTCAGTTAGTGTTGGTCATTTATTTAAATTAAATGTGTTTTCGCAGCAAACTCATTGGATTAATTTGTACTACATGCCCACAGCTTATCCAGTTTACTTCATCAGATTAGTTCATGCAAAATAAATTGTATTTAGCCCAGTTAGAAAAGTTGAATAGCGTGCTTACAGGGAATATTTGGACTGAAAATTACACTTAAGAAGAATAATTGAAAATGGCACACTAATTCTTGTTTTTCACTGACTGAAGTTGAAAATAATGTATTAAGGAAAGGGCACACATTCGAAATAGTTGCTTTTTCAAAAATAACGAAACTATCCAGAGACTGAATATCAGACGGTGGATGAGGCAGACGGATGAGGCAGACGGATCAAGTGAAACTCTGAAAAATTGATGGCTTGCTCTCGCCGTTTTTGCAGAAAGTCCACATCTAACCAGGGGCATAAAATTTGTTCCTTATTCCCCACTGGAATGCTGCATTTTTAATTTATAAAAATATTACTTGTTCTATTTGTTTTGGTTGTATTTGATTGCACCCAAGTTTTTTCTTTGGTATAGATGTTCCTGTTAATACGCATGTTGTGTTTATGCAAATATGACTATCTAATAAAATATTTTATAATAGATTATGAGCATTTTTTCGTTAGACTTCAATGCTCAAAAGAAAATTTATCTGTAAAAGCTGCAAACCCCGAATTCATAAATATTAAGCTTGAATTTCGACACTTTCCGCTTTTTCAAAAGCGGGAGATTTTCCATCCATCAAAGAGCAGCGCAATTAAAAGTTGCCACTGCCATCGTTCAACGTGATTCAATTAAATTTTGGTGCCGCAATCCAAATATTTTCTTATATATAACTTTAAATATTATGCAAGCTTGATTTTATTAAAAGTTCATTAAATTAATTTCCTAATTATTCTCAAATGCTTAAAAATGTGAAATTGTCACCTTGCTATTAACAAGCAATGTACTTCCTACATAATACATGTGTGTCCAAAACAGCATGATAACATTTTCTGAGCAATAAATTTATCAAAGTGCATTTACGGCCATACGTAAACGTATATTATTGTCGGGTTTCACCATCGTAAAATCTAAATTCAAAACTTTTATTTTGCAGGGAAAGCTATGCTATTATTTTCTCAACATCTACCATTGTTAGTTAATAGTTACACACAACTAGATTGTCTTTTATCAGAATGGATATTTTGCAGATATCCATTTCCCTTTGACTGAGAAATAATTGCCGTTTCTATTTCAGTTATAACGTAATAAACTGTAACAGCTTCTAGGAATTGGATGGCATGAAATAATATATTTGTTATATTGATTTTGAGGCCGGAAATGAAAACCTAACATTTTTATAATTCTCTAAAGATCCAGCAAACAATAGACTTTTTCTCTATGGACAGAAAAGAAGAAATAGTGCAAACAGGGTTAGGAAATTTCATTGGCAAACTATTTTTTAAATGACACAAACTGAACGTTTTTAATTTTTATTAACTTAAAATATTTCTGGAATCAGCAGGCGACTTAACGAAGTCATTTTTTAATTATAGTTTTTTGTTACAGATCTATTAGGAACACAAAAGGAAGCCAGCACACTGTCATAATAGCAATAGTACGAAAGAGGTAATTTGCATTGAATATAATTTATTTAATTAGTTTTCGAGCGTATAGCCAAAATGTATTTACTCAAGTTTTATTTGGAAAACATACAACATTTCTTTCCAAGTTGAATGTATAATGCATGGGTTATATTCCAGATTATATACATATTTTTACCCTTATATTTTTTTATTATTTATTTAAACCGTTACTTTTTTTATAGTTATTTGTATGAACTAGCTGCGGAGTTGTTAAATTAATTAAATAACTAAATTCGGATCAATCAAATAAACCTAAACTAACATTTTTAATTGCAGTGCATTTGAGCGAGATGACGTTACAATTGCATCCCTTTTGGAGTCCGGATTTAATAGGGTACGCTCAATATGGTTATTTAACTATAAAATTAGTTTTGAAGTAAAAATGAACTGATTTAAGTGCTGGACTTGTGTCTACTGACATCAAGTTCCAACTGTCCCTATTAAATACAGCGATTACTTAAAAGTCACCTAGTTTATAAAATGAAGGCGGATAAAAGTGGGCTTCTATACCCTTTCTATCATCCATGATGAAAAGAATCCATTTCAGTTCAAAAGCGGCAAACTCATTAACTTAGCTTTAGCTGACTTTGATGGAGGATTAAAAATATTTAGTAGTAATCCCTGGAATGGACGTACGTTTGTGGCATAACGTCCAACGTAGTTGCAAGTTGAGATGTAAATTATGGCATAATACGGATATTTAGTTATAATTCACTTTAAAATTATTAAATGCTGCATATAAAGCATATTATATAATGTGCCTGGAATATTAATAATTTCAAGCTTGGGTCAGCATGATTAAATTAACCAAAGGGCCCTCATTAAAACATAGTCTGGGCAATAACATAGCATGTAGGGCAAATAGCTAAAACATTTAGTGTTTCTCAGCAAATAACCTCGAACAAAAATTCATAAACACTTTTGTTAGTGTCTTATAGAGACTACAAACGTGCTGGTATGCGTAAACGAACTGATCGTGCTCAAACACTGCGACCTCAGAACGATGGCTCAACATGCTACCTGTCAGGCCATGTACACAGCTTTAGACAAATGCAGGGATCTAGTTATAGTAACAGATGATAGCTACAAATTTCAGGTGAGTAACTGAGGAAAAATCTAGTTCCGATTTTTTTTTCAGGCGAGTAATGAACCAGTTAGCAAAAACTAATTTCTTACAATCTGAGTCTAGTCATACATCATTTCATTCAGTTTTTCAGTTCATTTCTGTTCAGTGTCTAAATTAGTCAATTTCAAAATTGTGGTTAGGGAAGCATATTGTGGGCCTGCCTACAGCAGTCCTTTTCCAATAAATTTATTATTTGATTTTATTCCCCATATATTCACCGATAATATTTTTTTATTGTGTATTGATTTATTTCTTCTGCTTATTCACCGAATGTTTTCAAATTTTGCATACTTTCTGTGCATCAAAATCTTCGATCAATCATTCAATATGTTTAACATTGAAAGATGGGAATCAAATTAAAAAATGAAGACTGTATTCAAGTTGTGAACGTGTGGTATAAATCTAACTAGTTGAAAATTCACGTTTCAGCATCAATTAAACCTAAATTATCGTAATTAAATTTGGTAATCAATCTTGTTTATTCCCAAAGCAGTAAAACGTGTAACTCGAATTCCACATGCACTTAATTAGACTGTGGTTGTTGTAAATGTTTGTTTCCGAATTTAATAATCAGAATAATGAAAATGGAATGATTTTTTAACTAATAAAAAGTGCCGTTGGTTTCCAAGAATTTTAGCTTCAACTAATATTAAATTTTAAATAAATAAATTGGAAATACATTATTAATATTTTCCGTCTCTAATACCCCCATTAATTATTTAGTACCTGAGAAGCCCTTGCAGTTACCAAGTTTTCCCTCAGTCGTAATGTTAATGGACGTTTTACAATTCTGTTATCAGCCCAACCCTTCTTTCATCAGCATAAAACTTTCATGGCTTACACTTTATGTGTACTTTACAGTTTTTAACATTTGAAAGAATCTCGGTTTAGGCGTTTAATGTTACAACTTTGCAGACGTTGTAAATCTTGGAAGCCGTTTGGTTTTATTGAAAATAAGAGATTTTAATCAGGAAATTCAAAGCAAATCTATTTCCAATATATACAGATCCTGCGTGAGTCCTATTCTGTAAAATTATCATTTTCCGACACGTTTTTGATCTAAACATGGGTATGCCAACTTTTTCAATTATCTTGTTTGCAAATATACTCTAGGTTTTCATTGTACGATGTTCTGCAACACCCGAAAATAGACTTCACACGTCTCTAATTAATCTTAATAAACAATTCAATTAAAGCCAATTGCTTTTAACATATACATTTTAATTAAATTGGCTCTAAAATGTTCCAGATTCATAATCGAAATCAAATATAGGTACTAGTTCCAACAAAACGTACTAGATTTTTCAAATAGGTTTTTCAATGTTATTTCCTGTCAAAGAATTAACTTCGACTGAATACGGGTTTCAGAGCGTACAGAATGTGTTTGAAAGCAAATTTCAACAAATTGAATTGATTCTATCGAATTATGTATACTATTGCATTTTGTTTTCATGTTTCAAGTTGAAAAGGCTTGATAAATACAAATGAATACAAAAACGTTTGCATTCAATAAGCTCTTTATATTTATTACATTTTTTATAGATCAGTTAATCTGTTGAATTGATTACTTTAAATTCAAGTCACAAAAGTTAGTAACAAAAATTAACATAGGAAATCGAATAAATGAAAATCATCATTTGAAGATACTTGTTAAACATGCTAAATAGAATGTTTCAAATTTTGGCACGATGTTTCAAAACTAATTTAATAAAGCTTTCAATCATTTTTAAAAATTCTTAAAATTCAAACTTTGTACGGTGACAATTTTTGCACGAACTTATACAACTACACTACTTTTATAATTGATCCTGCAAAAGTACATTAACTCACCAATTTATTAAGCAATTCAATAAAAAAATATTCTTAGAAAACGAGCTTGTTTTTAAGTTTAGGCTCAAGCTATATTTTTCTCATAGTTTCCAGACTAACCCCTTGTGCGGTTTAGATGGTTAACTTTACTGCAAAATGCACTTTCTTTATAGAGCCATTTCCGAGCATTAATTTCACTTTTAAATGCTTTCCCACTGGCGTTAATTTAACTAACCCAGATAAAAGTCTATTAACCACATAAATCGATAGTACTTGCATCCGAAGTTTAAAAGGGCAACCGAGAAATTTTGTTTATGACTGAATGCGTACCGGCCATAAAGCACAATAATCGACTCTTATATTTTAAGATGAGGATATTTTTGGTTATAACATCTTTCTTAACATTTAAGTGCACTTAGAGAACGGCATTTTCCAAAAGCACGATAGAAAGCTTGCTGGACAGAAGTGGAACCTACAAAATATTTTGTTTGCAGATCAATTTTATTTAAATTAATTGTCGCATTAAAATGTAATAATCATAAATTATTAATTAAAATATTTATATTTTACAAACGTAGACCGTAAACTTTCACAATCAAACAATAACTATGTGGAAGTTTTCTACCTTTAAACGTAGAAATAGTTTGCCATTACAAATAGCTTAGGCCATAAATATATCTATCCGACAGACAAATAACCTTAACAAACACACGTTAGACATATATTATTCCCACTTTGTCCGGAGAAGTGATGGAAAAGCTATCAATGCATATTAGATGAGTTTCGTGACTTTAGATGCAAGTGCATTTCAACTTAGTATTTTTATAATTTTATTCACACCAATTAATTTGTAATAAAATTTCGGGTCTGTTTTTCCTATCTGCTCAGGATTAAGCCAATATTAAGAGCTTTTGCTTATTTCTACATGAACAAAAAAATAGTTATTAACTTTGTTTTTACTATAATCATTACCTTCCAGATACTGGAAGCAGAGCAAATGACTCTGTGACTAAAGTGTGTGACAAATGACTAAAGTGATTTAAATATACATTGAACTTGCATATACAGTTGAAAGGAATTCATATTTAATTGGTTGAAAAGAACTCGCATTCAAATAAAATTCAGATAGATGCTAGAAGAAGCTTAGAAAAAATAATGGGGCAGCTGCCGTTCAATTGGTTGAGTTAAACTAAAAAAAAAAATGTTTATACAATCTAAAATTTTAAAGTGTCCAACCATATGCTCCATTTTATTCCAATTTAGAAAGGAATGCGAATGTTAGAAATGACCCATTTTTCACAATACCGGATGTATTCCTGTGTATCGATTTATGGAGGCGAGGAAATAAAATCTGCAAATCGGTATTTACATTTTACACTATTCTACTTAATCCACAAAAAGAAATGTGCATTGCAATAGATAATAGTTACGGAAATTGATAATAAAATTGGCGATGTCAGATGTTTCCAAATTGATTGCAAGGTAATTTCCTACCAATAACACCAATCAAATAACAGAATAGGAGCGAAACTTTTTGTTGAAGCAGCCAATAAATAGATGTTATTTATATTTAAACACTGTTGAACATATGTTTTTCGGTTTTATTTTAATACAGACAATTGTTAGTTGAAGCAATAAATAATATCAGCACTGCACATTCGTGTTGAAAAGGGATATTCAATATTTATTGATATCGTGTTAGAGCATTGTTTTGCAATTAGGCGGAGAATGTAAAACCCTTTCGAAACATAAACTTAGCTGAAAAGTTTTCGCGTGCCCGAATATTGCTGTACTAAAGTAGATTCTCAAAACGATAATAACAAACCGATTTTTACGCAAGTTTTACAAGTGATGGGAATTTTTTTAACGTTTCGTTTTTAACAAATGTGCAACGAAACGGAAAACTAAAACTAATAATGAATTTTATAAACAGAAATTTTGTCAATTTATGGTCAAATATGGTTTTTATTGATATGAGTTAGTGTTAAATGATAGTTTCAACTTACATTAATTTTATTATTATTATTACACGGTTGGCATTCAATTTTTCACAATTTTCAATCATAGATGTTGTGCTCATTGGAACAATGCAATTAATACGTTACGTGTACATTTATACGTATATATGTTCACGTCTCTAGCTTTCGGGGTGGTTTCTCTTGTGGACTGGTTAGCAAAAAGCCGTATTTTGAATCTGGCAATTTAAAATGTACTTTCATTAACAGTATCGAGTTAAATATTTCAAATTTATAAATGAAATGTCCAATTTATCACTTACATTTTCATTTACTTTGAGGTGGCAATAAACGGCTTTTTAACAGGTCTTACTTTAAAACGGTTTAAGGATAACTGATTTTTAGTTAAATTATCAACTCCTTCAAAATAAAATTCACGCTGTGCAGTTATAGCGACTTAACTGGAACATGAAAGTAAAAAATTCTGTGGTCTCGATTTGTTTTTATATGCTCCCCTTTTTTAATTTAATCCAGAACATTTGTTTTGCCCATTTACGTGCTTGCTCTTGCGAATAACGTTTATTCTGATAGACATTAATTTACCCACTGTTATTTTACCATTACAACTAAACTGCATTTGTGTTTGTTTGCCGTTGTTTAATGTTGTTCGTTTTGTTTCAGTACATGAACGCGGCATGTGAAAGACAGTTAGGCCTGAGGCAGGAAGACACTATAGGGAAAACTCTGCAGGAACAGTTGGTATATGATACGGTGCAGATAAATACGATGGGTTCGTCCCTGCTGAGAGCCAGAGAATGGAGCGGTCCCATGACATTAAAAAGAAAATCGACCCAGGAAACTATAGTCAGCAATTGTCGAGCTGTACCATTTTCCTGTGCAGGAAGGTAAATTTATATTTATAATGCCAGGACTGAAACGCTCATTAAAAAAGCAATCTTTTGCAATTTTGCCAATCAGCCTATACGTGTCTTGCAGGAAAATTTACTGTTCCTAAGCATATTCGGTTATACTTGGCCATTTAAAGTCAAACCAGACCGAGTGTACATCAAACGGAAAAACTGATATTTCCTCACACACTAAATTACCGAATTTTATAGCACGTATTTGCATATTTACATCGGTGTGCTCATTTTTGCATTTTAATCGCTTTAGGATTACTTTCTCAGATTTCTGTGTGACATGCGTGAAAAGCAAATTTAAAATGTTAATCCCAAATGTTTTACAATTTTCAGTTACGTCACTCTTTCGTAGCTCTGATATACATATAAAATATTCCCTTTTGTTGACGCCATGCGGTTTCAAGTCCAATATTACTGTCAGAAATGGAAAAAGAGGCATTTTAAAAATGTACGTTTAATAAATGGTTCTAGATGGATGTCAGATTTAACTGATGTAAAATTTAAACCGCATGTAATTCAGATCAAATCAAGCAATATCAACCCGATCGACTCTAAACTTTTGAGGGTGTTAAACACACACATGATGCATTTGCAAATTTCGGTGGTTTTTCGTTTTGTATTTCAGCATCACAGCCATTAGGATAAGCCTCGGATCTCGATAGAAGGTTTTAATTTTTTTGCACATCTCGTTTATTTACTGAATGGATTTTAAATACTAATTTATTTGGTATTGTAATGATACGTTTTTGAACAGACAAAATCTAAGGCTGATATTGAAGCTACTAGAACTTCGCAGTCGACTTGAGAAAAAAATTGAATAAACCGAGTTGCATGAATGAACGAAATGTTTGAAAGTGAACTTCACCTTAGATGAAAATGTGGCAGAGTTTCTGCATATATTGAGTTTTTGTCTGAAACTGCCTTAGAAGTTTTAACTTCCACATGAGCTTTAGATCGTTAATAGGACTAAGAGCAGAAAATTATCGCTGCACCATCCAAAAGTTGTTTTTTGAGACCACCTGAGTCACATGTGATGACAAATACTTCCTTTTGCAAAAAAATGATCTCAATGAATCAATAAAAAAATTAGAAGGCATAATCACAGAAGAAAAGTGTTACAAGGAGACGCGGCTCATGGCTTAAAGATCTGAAGATTGGTTTTGCTCCAACAACAGTCAGCTATTTCACGCGGCAGTCAATAAAATTAAAATAGCTCTGACGATAGCGAACCTACGATAGAAGAAGCGCAACAACAAGAAGAAGAAACAAATGCTTGTATGAAGGCAAATATCTGAGCAATGTATGAACAACCTTTACAGGTTTTTGTGCAGTTCCAGTTTCTTGCCAGTATCCATTGAATGTAGATTCTACTCATTGTGGAAATAGATTAGATGAAGAACTTAAAACCATGTTCTAACATTGAAAGGTTCCAAATTCGAGGTGATAGCATTAAGACTTCAACTCTTTGGCAAGTTTAATTGTTTCTACAACTTTGAGGCGCAATTATTCGGAAACCTCTGGATAAAAAGCAACTAATGTACTGAGAATTGAACCCCCTTTAAAACGATGTGACACTTGACCCCTTTCCAATTTAAGATTCTGAGGGTGACATCTTCCCCTCCTAAGGGGTTGAAACAGGGAAGCTAAAAATATTTATTTAAAGTGATATTAGGAATTCTTAGCGATGTACAGTACAGAAAAACAGCTTTTGCCTTCTGAATCAGATGCGCATAAAGTGCTCAAAAATAATTAAAATAGTTTATTGAACATCAAAATCTGAGTAAATATTGAGTACCCACTTAAAAAAGGAAAATTTGGCTCTAATTGCAAATAATCCTGGCAAACACAGCATTGTTGGAATAAGTTAAAACAGAAAAATTGCGAGCATTACCTTTGCAGTTTCCACGTCCTCATTGTCAATAACCCAAGCCAATGTTTGCAGAACTGTAAATCACTGTGTCCAGTTTTTGCAAAATAATTCCACTCAAAATGTTCATCACAACACTCGATTTTGTATGTTACTTTGTTTGAAAAGCATGCAACGGAACCCACAGCGCATCCTTGAAAGGGCAAGTACGAATCGATTAATCGATAAACTCAAGAAACAAAATTTCTATGGATTTTGGAAGGAATAAATATAGCCCAGTTTTTTTGAGCCCGCAACCGGTTTGGCTTGGCAAAGGATATATGAAATTTACGCATGAAAAACACCGTCAAAAACAGCAAATATTTTTACTGTCGTGTTTTTYATATTCTGAATATGAAGCTGTACKAGTCGATAATATTATTCAAAAAAGTTGCTAGTATTTTAGCAATTATTAATTATGAATTTGGTAAATATGGTAATGGGAGTGTGCGATTTAAGACAGGAACTAACCAGATAGTACCCATTAAAGATAATATGTTTAACACTCTGTAAGCTAAAGAAAAATGTCTCTTGTTTAACATGGATGAAATCAACCGTTTTCCTGCAAAAAGGCTTTTTAGCCAAGAAAGTTTAATTTTGCAAAGAGCAGTTTGGAGAATAATGGACAATATTGTCAATTTTTTGCATAAAATCTTATCTTTGCATCTCACAGCTTTCATTTGTGAACTCGTTATCTAAAATTAATTAATTCAAATTTCAAGAGCATCTAATTATAATTTTTTTAAATCACTGAGTCGGTAGAGAAAGACCTGAGGCTGGTACCCCGTCCTCAGGACTTAAATTAATTACATTTTTATTTCTGGGGACATCTGAAGATATTGTTGGTTTCACAGCTGTTGGAACTAAGGAGGATATGTTGCTATGAATAATTTTTCTTTCCGATCAAAGAGACAAGAGACTTTGATTGGGTGGACTATCCTCAACTCCAAGTGCGCGTGAACGAGCATATATTAGTTATACATTTATATACATATATATTTTAAATGTTAGCCGTTTTCTGACAAACGGTTTACCTATCGATATTAAACAAAAGAGCATTTTTGTTGGTTTTAGGTATCTAAAAATAGTATGCGTTTTTATAAAACAGGGTGTTAAAAATATGAGCCTTATGGCAGCAACATAACTAGTATTCATTTAGCATATAACAGCATCTTTACAGTGAACCAGACATATTTTAATTTTTTTGAAAATAAAATCAAAATTCTTTCTTGCAAAAAAACCCACCTAATCATTTAAAACAAAATAATCACGCTGCATTTCGAAACTCAAGCGAGCAGTATTAATGTAAGCTATTTTCCAATTAATAACTCGCTTTTAATTATTAAAAGTTCGGACAATTTTTGTAAAATAAGCTCACTTCGGAAGTTTTCTAATTGATTGTGTGAATTTATCAGACCCTTTTTTAAATCCGCAAGCCCAACGTCCCAAACGTTTGCTCTAATCCCTCAATTAACGGAAAATGTTTGAGAGCACATTCACATTTTCCTCGAGTTTCATTTAATAAAAGTTGTAATTTATTAGAAAAAACAGGCTCCTTTATATTTTATAAAATTAACCTGCCGTTGGCTATTTGACGGTTGAAAGAAGTATGGGCTCTTCAAAAATTCAAATCTGAATTGGCCGTAATGCTGGCACATAATTTTATTTTAATAAATTGGTTTGCTCGAGGCTTTGTTTTTATTAAAAATTTTACTAAAGAAACGAGCTTGCAAGTAGCCCGTAAAGGAATGCTTGCTTTTAAGTCAGCGATTTTATTTGATAGAAATAAATTTTAAAAACCAAGGGATCTTTTCTATTAGTTTCCTCTGAGGCTTAAATTAACAAGTTATTGATAGTAATAATAGTAATGTTTATTTAATTAAATAATCATACATTTATTTTCCATTTCATCATTCATCGCAGATGACGAAAAACGGAACAGAAATGCAAGAGAAAAAATTATTAAAAAAATGTAATTAACCGAAAAATAAATGACGAAAGTTCTAATGTTATGTAATGGAAACATTGGCCACATGAGCGTGCTGCTCGTTTGCATCCCCTTTTGAGATAACATTTAGTTGATACAAATTGGATGAATGAATTTAATTGATACAAAGCTCACAACGGGAATTGAATGGTTTATCGTATGTTTTGTTATTAAACCAAATAAGCAGCTTAATTCTTGTAAAACCTCTTGAAAATGAATTAACTTTGCTTGTGAAATGGTAAATCACTTCCTCAATAAGACGAGAAGAAGATAACAAGATAATTTATTTCCATTTGCTCGTTGAGAACGGTTTTACAAGCCATTCTCACCTTCAATTCGATCTTTTTTTCAGAATGCCAACCCACTTCATTTTAGTTTTTGACACGAATTCAATAGATCCAAGTAATCTATCACAATCTCGAGGTAGCATACATTCGATCAGGCGGGGGTCGACAGATGTCCGAAGTATCGGAAGTGATTATTTGAGACGGACGTCACTGGCCAAACTAAATGCTCTTCCCTTAGAAGCCCCTATTACAAAGGTAAGAAGGACTTTTTATGCGGAAAACCTTTTATGTTTTATCCAACCTGCGACCGAAATATATATTTTATGTAAAAGCATACCTACTTATATTTAATAATATTAGATACTATTATTATCGAGAAATCAATAAAAAAACTACTAAAAACTAACGTTCTTGCATCCATTCAATAGATTAGTTTTTTTTTCATAAATCTAAACAGCGGGTTTTATTTGATATTTACTGATAATTGCGCGATGAAATAAACCCTTAAAACTTAAAGCAAATGTTTATTACTCACAACGCTTCCGTCGCTATAAATCTCCAACCGTTCTCAGCTGTATGAGTACCGCTTCATGTTTTATCCTCATAAATGTGTTTCAATATGCCCAAGTTTTATTCAAATATTAGTTACAGTCAATGGCCAACGATTGTTGATAAGCAATAGAAAGCAAATGAAGTTATTTGTTTGAACTCTTCCAGATAGTTGGCCTGATAGATCAAATAAGGGAGAATGTGGGGTCCAACGGACAATTAGTACAATTGATTGACAAAGTGGAAGACATACTGAAGGGCTCTGAGCTGTATGTGTCTCATGTGAAAGAAGATTTCAGAATGAAAACCGATGAACCTGTCGTGTCGGATCTCATTACAGCTCTATTATCGGTAAGTGTATGGGAATTACTTCATAATGCATTTTGGGAATAAAGCAAATAGAAAATTTAATTATAGTTGAGTATCAATTCGGAGGATTTGAAGATTTAGCGTAGCATTATTTTGCAATACTACCAAATTTAACAAAAATCACATTCAGTCCCCAGGCTTCTAAGTATTTGGAATATATAATTACTACTAGTTGTACAGGAAAACATATTTAAGTTGCATTTAACCAACTTCTAACTTCGTTTCGTCATTCAGAATACATTAATTTTCCCCATGGAAGCTTAGGTAATTTTGTATCATAATTGGTATCGTGTTTTCGGCAAGCATTTCAATTGTGTTAACTTTTATCTTGTTATATAAATATATATATGGGACAATAAAAATCCGCACTAGTTGCTGCCGAATTATTTTTCATATCTTCTTTAAATCTGACAATGTTATGAATATATGTCCAAAACGAGATGTATTTTTATTAAGTTGGGATTATTTTATTTTCTTTTCGAATCTAATCAAAAGCGCCATAGTCGTAAACGAGTATATTTTGTCCAATGATCAAACAGAAAATATCTGGACCAGCCAGGCCCAGCTTATGGAACTAACAAATATATAAGACTTATATTGCCTAAGGGATGGGAATAAAACTTTATATTGTTGGCGTGTCTGGTTTTAACGTCGTACGTGTTATTATATTGTGTCTAGACAATGTGTGATAAATGTTAATTTTTGCTTGATTTGATATTATAAAAAATAGTATTCAATAATAAATGAATCCAGTCAGTTGTCCAAAATGAATTAATTTAATTTAAAATGATAATTATATTTTCCCAAAACGAAAAAGTGAGAGTACCTACCATACTCAATTTTACTTGTTTGATGACTAGTTTGAAATTTTTAAATTCGTTTTTCATTGTAATAATTGCTTGTAAATATTAGTATTTGATAGCAAGCACCTTCTGATCAAATTTTCAATCTTTAATCGTTTCTAAGCGAAATGTATAAATTATTCTTTGTTTCGCAGAAGGCACCTCAACCGACAGTTACCGCATCTTCCAGAAGAAGCAGCAACGATTCTTCGGTGTTCAGACCTTCCCGAACTGGATTAATAAAGGTAGGATAATCACCTAAGGGCCGACATTTTTTATAAAGTAATTTAGGGAACACTACTCGGGAAAACTGCTTATAATTCTACATTTTCTGCACCTTAATGTGGAAGAACAAACCCGGTTTTTATATAAAAATTCGACACCAATTTTACAGTAATGTTGTAATTTAAAACAGGTAAGGAATTGTGTTTTTCCAAATGTGAATATGTCTTTTGCATTTTTCTATAAGCAATATCTAATTTTAAACGATTTCGGTCTATTTTAAAATGGTCATTTAATTCTCTCTGGAATGATATGCGTTCTTGCTCATTTCGCTTCAAAAACATGTGCAGAAAAGGGTCGAAAAACATGAAATTTTGGCATGATGTGGGACCTAAGTACCTGATATTCAAATTTCGCTTTCTGGGTTAAAACTGCGAGGATTTCCTCACTCATGTTGTTATGACTGACTTGAAAGCTGAATCCACCTCCGGTTCGCAGACGATTCACATTTTTATCAGGTTCGCATATGTCTAAATAAGCTGCTTACCTCATAACAAAAACTTAAGGTCCTTTGAGCACGGAGATAAAACGTGGAGACTTTATTTTGTAATGTTGAAAAATGGCCTGAAATTTTTCCATTGTGTATTAAAGCCGTTCAGTTTATTGTGTAGATATACCTAATTATCAACCTGGAGATATTAATATTGAGAAACAATTGAATATTAATATAGCTTTATTGAACAAAAGATTCACTATTGCCATCACTTTTATAACAAAACATTATTACAGGTTATTTATGAAACAACAATCGCACAAATTAATTAGTTTTTCAAATATAAATTGATTTATTCCGGCGCTGCAAATCTACAAATTGAAATATACTAAACTAACGAGCAGGAAAACAATCCGGCGTATAGTTCGGGTATATGGACGGAAATCCTCAGAATTAAAAATTAAATCTGCTGCAAAATAATACCTGCAATGCCGAGATAATTAATTAGATTGAACTAAATAATTTAAAATTCTCGAAGGTGGAATTCTGCTCTTTTTCCAATCTTTGGATTCCTGATTTCTTACCGTTAGTCTCTCTCTCTTTAGTATTTTAAAGAAAATTAATTCGTATTGCATCTCCCTCTTATATCAGTAAGTACTTATTTAATTCCTATACAGGGAGTTCGGTAAGCACATGATCAAAAAGATACTGGGATATTCTTTGCATCAACAGAAAACGATCTGACCTAACTTTTATTAACAAAAAATGTCTGGCTCCTCTGCGATTGATGGTCAAAGTTCTTTAAAAAGATATCTTTTTTGAAATATCGGGAAAATGGTACGATGTATTTTAGTGAAACTCGCTGTCAATTTGTTCTTATATAAGGCTCATATTTTGATGAAACAATCGAGTTCATACGTTTTGGGCAAGTGGGGAATTATTCAATATCGTGGTACAAAATCTACCAGAACTTTTTATTTGGTAGGTAAAATTAACAATTAACAATGTTAGATATTAACTGCAGATATCGTGATACGAGGCATAAATTAATTGACAATCAATCTCACAAGTTCGTTTCGAATGACCGACATATTTGCAGTCTTGTTGAATATTGTTAAGTGGAAAGAAAACAGACATATTTTTTGCGCAAAAACTATGAATGCTACAAATTTTACAAAGAAACAAAATTGTGAACCAAAAAAAAATTTGTTGATTCCATCCACCAAATAAAAAGTTCTGGAAGTTTTGGGACCACGACACTCAAGAATTTACCACTTGCCCAAAACGTATCAACTGGATTGCCTTACATAAGAACAAATTCACAGCGAGTTTCACCAAAATACATAGTACCATTCTACCGCTATTTCAAAAAAGATATATTTTTTAAAGAAATTTGACCATCAATAGCAGAGAAGCCAGACATTTTCTACAATAATCATCAGAACACAAAGAATATCGCAGTACCCTTTTGATCATGTGGTTACGGGACACCCTGCATATTCCGCTCTGTTATTTAATTCGAATTGCTTTGCCTCAGAAGCATGCCTCCTATTACGTCTTTCTGTGATATGGGTAAATTCCTACTTGTTGCTTCTCACCTTTGTTATCGACAACCGTCTGTAAATGAAAATACTGGGAATCGATAAAATCTCTCCTTTTACATATATCTTTGATATCCGTTAACGCTTATATGAACGTCTTCTTTCGCTACGCCGATGTGAATTCAATTATTCTGGTCGTATTAGATTTTTAGCGCATTTTTAATAGTTAATAGGCTCAATTCGGTTATTTCCATAATCGAATAGTTCTCATTTTTTAATTTGAAGCTTCCCATCACTACATAAAACCAAATCATTTTAAATAAGCAATATTTAGAAAGCATTAAAGTGTTCAACTATTTCAATGAGAGTCAAGCTGAAGTTGTGATTTAAAATATTTTTGATTCCCGGCAATCGCCCATGCAAAGATATTTTAATGAAAGATGAACCAGACTTTAACAATAAAATACTCGATACTCTATGCGATAGGTAGAGGTCTTCTCTCTTTCATGTTAAAGTAAATTCAGCTGCGCTTTAAAGCTTCAAACAGTGGTAAGTTTATCGAGTCCTTTCACGAGCACTCAGCGTTGTCAAAAAGGAACAAGCTGGAAGAGCACATTCTGGCATAACATGTCCAATGGCTAAATGTATCCCATACGTTAATTTAGTATTCGGTTTCCAGGTTCCGGCAGCCATTCGCGACCTGTTGGATACCGCCTTGATGTGGGAATTCGACATATTCAAATTAGAGGATCTCACCCGGAAAAGGCCTTTGCAGCATCTGGGTATGAACTTATTCAATCACTTTGACGTGTGTGGAGCGCTGAACTGCGATGAGAGAACGCTGAGTAATTGGCTAACCGTCATAGAAGCAAATTATCATGCTGAAAATTCGTATCATAACTCGACGCATGCTGCAGATGTTATGCAGGTGAGTCGCATTGCAATTAAGTTTATGCATAAAAAGAAGCAGAAATTCTAACACTCCAACTCAAAATAAACCGAAAATATCAATAATTTTGTGAATAAGGATTTTTTCAAAAGAAAGTGTTGCACCTTTACGTTAATTTTACAATGCTTTAATTAAAGCTGTTATATTTATTAGACCGATCGATCGATCGATGAAATGAATTTCATTCCATCGACTACGAGATATCTACATAAAACATTCGACATTATGTCCAAAGATGCGAAAGAGTTAAAATGTTAAAATATACATGTTTCTCCTGTTACTCATGTGCAATGAAGCCAAAAAAGGTGTTACTTAGGCAAACGTACTTGTAGTAAAAATATTAAATGAACTGTCGCTGTTTTACCAGATACATTGGTCAAAAATAATAAGTATTTTTCATTTTTGTCTTCTCATTTATTAATATGTACAGTAGATTATTCCAACAGCAAACATAATCAGTTAACATCAATATTTGAGCAACTTAACTCACTTGCATGGATAATTTATTTCCGTATATATTTATAATTACTTTCCACATTTAAATATGTTTGCCACAATTTTGTTAGAAAAATAAATTTTTAAAAGGTAATAAAAGTTATTTACATTTATTTGAGCATTGAAAAATAAATAAAGGTTTGAATCGTTATGGAAAGTATTTATTTAATATAATCACAAATAAAAGATCCAACGAAAAAACTGAAGACTTGATAATCTTACAGCGATTTACTATAATAATTGAGTCTAAATAAATTCGAATTTTTTATTTTAAATAGGTATAGATATTGATTTTAATGTTCTTTTTTTTTAAGTATTGCATTTTTTTTATATATTAACTGTCTCGAATATGGTTTTCCTCTTGTTTATTAGATTGTATCTAAACGTCCTTTGACATCAATAATAATTAAAAAATGGTTTGAAGAAAAACATTACAAAGTTTAAATATTTTGTAATTAGGCAAATATTTTATTTACAACTTAACAGTTTTTGAAAATCACGTAATTTACTGAATTCTAATTGATAATTATCTGTAATTCTTTGGGTTTTTTTGCGGTACGGTATTAAAGAATATTTAAAACCTAAAAATATTTAAGTACTTTATTTTATTTATTATTCAAATGTATTAAGTCACTCAACAAGTGACTACAGCAGTAACAACATGAACTGTTAAAGCTCATTAATGTTCAGTAAGGAAACTGATCTAAAAAATAATGTTTGCTTTCTAAAAAGATTTATTCCCAATCCTGAGTGTTCTCAAGAATTTAGTCTGTTAATTTTGAAAGACTTGTGCCAATACCTAAACTATTTTACAGCTTTATTTTTTCACACGTTTAAAATACTGTTTATGCTAATCTATACTCGGTCAAAAAACCTTAAATAAACTGATAGTGATGAGTATTTATGTGTTTTCCAATTATTTTTTATATTCTGAGCATGTTTTCGATAATAAGACGAAACAAATAAACATGTTGGGGAGACCCCAACATGTTTATAGTGACGTAAAAATAGTGGCGCGATTTCCAAATTAATGAAAGACTCTAGAGTTAAAAATGAAATCAGACTTTCGTATGTCCAAGCCAAAGAACTTTTTAGTTTGTGTTAGTTTTTGTAAAATGGAAACGGGTCGAAAAATAGCAAGTAAAAGTTTAAGTCCATTTTGTCCGTGTAATTCTTTGAATTTCGACTGTAAGGCATAAAGTTCAGAAAAACCTCTTGAAATAGTAAAACTATTAGAGATACGAGAACTAGCACTATACTCAACCACTCTCCAGTGCTTTTTCTCGAAGGCTGACATTCATTTGCATGTTTTAAAATTTAGGCGACCGCTGGTTTTCTTGAAAAGGAGAGGATGAAGTCAATTATGGAACCTTTGGACGAAGCCACCAGTCTTATAGCAGCTGCAGCACACGATTTAGACCATCCTGGCAAATCTAGTGCGTTCCTAACAAACTCGAACAATCCTCTGGCTATTTTGTATAATGACGTAACAGTATTAGAATCGCATCATGCAGCTATGACGTTCAAATTAACTTTGGGTAAGTTACATTTGAAAAAATCCTATTTTATTTGACTGCTTGCATTTAATGTTAAGTTGAGAAGATGAGAAGAAATATTTTGCGCATCTACTTCAAGCCTTTGTTAAAATATTTATTCGCTGGATGAAAGTGAATTAAATAAATTTCTAGGTGATGAAAGAGTGAACATTTTCAAAAACCTGGACAGAGATACGTACAAATTGGCCCGACATAATGTTATCGATATGATTCTAGCGACGGAAATGACAAAACATTTTGAGCACTTAGCCAAGTTCGTGAATGTATTCTGCACCAGATCGTCAGTTGGATCGGAAATAGGAGATGTAAGTTGAAAAACTGGATAAACGATAGGTTTTATTAATTTCATATTTTCACCCCTTCGTGCAGCAATCGGAAGATTACGCTCCGATTCTCACAGCTGAGAATACCACTTTGGTGAAAAGGATGATGATTAAATGTTCCGACGTTTCGAATCCTACCAGACCTCTTCGACTGTGCGTTGAGTGGGCTCGAAGAATAGCAGAGGAATATTTTCAGCAAACTGATGATGAGAAGGCCAGAGGCCTTCCTGTTGTTATGCCGATGTTCGATCGACAATGCTGCTCAATTCCCAAGTCACAAATCGGTTTTGTCGATTATATCATCAATGATATGTTCGAGGCGTGGAATGGTAAGTTGAAAATCATAATGAATCCATCCAAGCAGATATTTAATGCAGAAAATGTGTACTGCCTTTCACTTTATTGTAGTTAGACGATAATCTGGAGTTGAAATTAGGGTTCGAACTGAATCCTTTTCTGAAAATGGTTTTATTTAAAGTCTAACTGTTAATTTTCGTGATTTTAGCTTTCATTGATATGCCGGAGCTGTTGACCTACATGAGGCAAAACTACATAAGATGGAAAGAGTTTGATGAACAGAATCATACCACGTTAAATGACATCCAGAAGCTCCAAGCCACCATCTTAGCACCTTCCATTACTTCCAGTATTAAGTCTGACTAGCATAAGTATATACGTAAGTATGTGTATAGTCAGTTTATAATGAACTTGTTCAGTACAGTTTCTAATGTAAAACGGAACAGCGTAAACAGCTTTAAATGAAATGTTAAGTGGGTTCTATGATTGGAGTTGGAATTATATTCTATTTACAGGGTGGTCTCAAAAAATTAACTTTTTGGTCTTGCAGTGACAATTTTTCTGCTTTTGGTCCGATTTTTACGATCTAGCGCTCATGTTGAAGCGCAACCTTCATAGACAATTTAAGAGAAACATTCAATAGGGGGTTGCATGAAAAATGACCCAAAGCAGAGTTGCCCTCGAAATGTGTGATACTAGTAGACCACTTAAAGTAAGGTGAAGTTCACTTTCAAATATTTCGTTCATTTATGCAACCTGGAATATAAATTTTTTTTCCGTTAGTCGACTGCAAAGATTTAGCTTCCACAAGAACCATAATTATGTAGAATTGAAAAAAAATATCATTTCCAATCACAAAAAGATTTTTTTAACCACTTCAAGCAATCGTGCATTTCGTTTCATTTGCCACCCTTTATCAGAAGCACATTTTTGCTTTGCAAAAACACGCTAACCGAAAAAGAATTGCCCTAAATAATGCTTCAAAGAGAAAACAAATCGCTCTCAGTGATCAGAGTTCCAAAATTAGTCTAAATTTGTCCGTGTAACGTCTACTTTGTGAGCAGTTTATATTGTTGCAAAACTTTTCGGGAAAGAAATACTATAATAATGCGAAACTAAAATGAATATTCTCACAGTTATTCGCGAATGTTAACATACGATTTGCTTAAATTTATATATCTTGAAATACATTTACGCAGCTTTTGCACTTGCATACGAACATTTTTACGTTCTTTCGAGAAGAAAACTTTTCAGTTTGTAATTTTTTAAATATTTTACAGCTGACCACTAGCCAGTTCTTTAGTGAAAAGTACGACATTTATCATGGAAATACTGAAATAATAAATGCGTAAAAACGAGTAAATGTATGATCAGAAACCTACCGCAGAAGTACTTTTCAATTTTAATTTTGCATTTAGTTTTTACTCAAACATTTAACCGATATTGTATATGTATTGATATTAATTTTTTGTTTCAGGTCACAGCGTTGACATCAGTGACTTAAGATATATTATTACTCAAAGAACTATGAACCGTAATACCTACCTGACTAAATAATAATAGCGCATATCTTTCAAAATAAATCCCTCTATTTCTTGTATAAATATTGAATGTACATCTATTTATATATCTATTTTTAAATAGAATAAATTTTGAAACATGCATGCTGGTCGTGCATCTTTGTCTATTTGTCGTAAGAATTATAATAGTAATTATATTCTTTGAAGAACATATACTTACAAGTTTCACGTATATTGATGTGTTTTTTTATTTATATAAAAATTGTCGGTGTGTGTTGTTTCATTCTCTTTAAGAAACGCATTAAAATAAATCATGTTTTTGTATAAAAATAAAATTGTTTTACTGCGTGTTATAGTATGCCTCTACCTCTGCAGGTATAAATTATACAATTAAAAGACCAACTAGAAAAAGAACGTTCCTTATTTTCATTCAAGGAAAAATTGAACCGTGAATGACCTTCAAAAAACGAAAAAATATGCATTTTAACAAAAATGTCTCTTCCTGAAAACGCATGATAAACCCAAAAGTGTGGTGGTCAAAACTGGTGTGGTTTGCTACACGCCCTACAAAAAAATGTATCTATCTTCGGTTAAGTGTGGAGGCTCATAAATAAAACGTCGAGCTAATAAGTGTTAAAAAATATATTTAAGTAAACCACATTATATACACAACATATTACATTTCAAAAAAATTAGGTACGTAAATTTTAGTTAGTCGGATGTTCAACTTTGGGTTCAGGTGTTGAAGAAGTCACTGTAGATTTGGCTGGTCCAGTTTGCTGGATTGGAACAACTCTGTCCGTATTCTTGGGTTTGTCTGATTTCTTGGGGGCAGTAACAGTCAAAATTCCATCTGAAGATAGAGACGAAACGACTTCTTCGATATCATTATCAGAAGGCAGGACGTATCTTCTGACAAAATGCCTGGAAATGAAACCATGTTCATCTTGTTTCTCTTCATGCTTTCCTTCTACGATGATGCTGTTGCCAGTTGTTTTAACGGTGATTTCATTGGGAGCAAATTGCTGGACATCCAAGATGACCTGAAAATTATTTCGCTGTAAATGAAGCTCAGTTTCTCTTTCAGAATCTTGGAAACTGTAGGAAAATTTCGTAGACAATTGCATTGCGTAAGAACGGGTTCCTTCTTCAATAGCTTCTCATCAAACTTGATGGTTTATAGAAAATTTTAAAATCGTCGAGTATGTTTGGTTTTGTGTAGGCACTTACTACAAATGTGCGATAAATATTACATTCTTCAAATTCAAAGTTCGAATCATCGTTTTGGAATGGAATGATACTGAAGTAGAAAAAATGATTCCATTAGTTGCGGTTTTAGTTTTAGTTAAAGTTTGGCCCGAATTATGCAGGCCCAAATTGGGAATAACTGAAACTAAATTTCTGTACTAACTCATATGCAAACAAGGTTTATTACCTCAAAGCAACCTTTTGATCGGCGTATGCTAGTGTTGGCTCTAGGTCCTTGGTTAGTTTGCACTTCTGTTATTTCGGCTTTCTATTGTTAGACAGAAACGAAAATATCCTTGTATTACCGAACTGATCAAATGTCCATGTGTTTTGTCATTTTCTGCAGGTTTATGTGCAGCATTAACAGTTTGTCGGTTAAGTGCGACTTTCTATTGTTCTTCAAAAACAATATGAAGGGCTTTTTGTGTTTGTATTTGGTTTTACCTAATCGCTTGATTTACCTGGAATTTATCCTTGTCCTGCTGAATGGTTGATCCAGATTCTTGTCTCTGCAGAACGCTGGATGTGCTCCATGGTCTGACGTAGTTTCTGGTCAAGGCACTTCTTGGAAAGGTTCTTTAGAAAAATTATTAATGTTTAAGAAAGAATAAAAGATATTAATTACTAAATCGAAGAGCGATAAACTTTTGATTAATTTGAAATAGTAAATTTAAGAAACAGAATTTACACGTGGCTTAGTAAATGTTAAATTTACGAAAGTATTAAACCAATGATATTAGATACATTCATACATCCAGATACTTTTTTCTTCATTTTAAACTTCATTTATGTTCAAATAATTTTTCTTGCGCTGTTAATGTCCACCTCAAATAACTCAAAAATTTTTAGTTGGTTTATAAGAGAAAAATATAAAAATAAACGTTAATCGCTGACTTGTTGCCTCGACTATTTCAGAGAGAGGTGCGCATTTGTCAGGTCTGGTTATAGTTCAACATAAAAATTATTCGATTACCGATTAATCAACAATATTTTCACTATTGAAGACTCAAACACATTGAATTCGGAACTTTTTAGGTCGACAACAATCCAGTAAACTCATAAAATAATATTCGATTTCTAAGAGAAAATTAAATAGCTGTTTTTGTTTGTTTTCTTTTCAAAAAATGTAGCTGCAATATAACTATACATTTAGTTTTATAGGTACCCTTAAGATAAGAAATTACTATCGGTTTTCTCATTTTTAAAATACGGTGAAGACTATCAGAGTAAAAAACTTTCGTAAATTTTACATTTTCTTAATAAAGGAATTTCATAACTAAAGGTCAAAAAAATAATTTATTAAAAAACGTACTCTTTACAATAAAGTACAAACTATTTGGAAATTGTCACAAAAATGTCATAAAATTTCTTTTCTTTCAGGTAGAGGCAAGTTTTCTTTAGAAATAGTCTCAATAGAATTTAAATATTTTCAATAAAAAACTGGCAACAATAAAGCGATATTATCGTCGATATGTATCAAACGCAAAAATAAAAGTTCTTAATTAATGTGTATAAGAACAATAAAGCGATATGCAGAATGAAAAAATTACCTAAAAGAGTTAAGTAAATCATCGCGCTTCAAACCAAGCCCAAACTGTTGATCTAGAAGACGCGAAGGCCGATTGAACCAGTCTTCTTCGTCCCACCAATCCCGGTATAACATTGGAATAACAGACATCTGAAAAGATCCGATCCCAAATTAAAACTAGAAAATATTAAAACAACTAAATTTAATTCACATATTTTTAAATTATTTTGCATCTCACCACATGCACGCGGGTCTAGAAGGAAACTTTACAAAGTTATCGATTGTTTTCGACCAAATATTACAAAAGCATTGGGGGCAAATGTCTATAAAAGTTCTGGCAAGCAAAGTTTTGTTTTCGGCAGTATTTTCCGCTAACTTGAGTGCCCACTGTTTATATGGGAAATTTCTAAAAATAATTCGCTGATGCATCAGCTGCAAAAATAGTTGATACGCTTTCATATGAAAAGAATTTTTCCTAGGCTGCAATTTTCATTACTGTAAAATTTATATCGATATATAAAGGAAAAGAGAACAATATGAATATACTCAAAAAAATGTATCTAAGGTTTATCTGATTATTTCTAAAGGGTTTTTCTGTAATGCGTGGACCCTGATGTCTTCTCTTTGAAGCCGAAATTACAAATTCCCATTAATAAGAAAGTAGTAAAATTGCAACTTATTTAAATGCAAAAAACGAGAACTACTGAAGTAAAATGAGAGTTCTACTTACGATGCCTTATATTTTTTACACAGTCACTTTCTGATGCTGAAGTCGAAGCCAAACTGTGAAATCCGTCCAAACAAAAATTAAATATATACTAAGCGTTTATGATTCAGGTGATTTCATCATTCTCGAATGAAAACAAACCATTTTATACCATACTTTTCGAAAAAGGAAACCTATCGCTAAAATGTATTTTCTGAAAAATATTTCAGTTGGTTTTTCTCAATCAAGCTGTAAAGATTACACAAATGCAACAAACCATTTTTGTTTTAAAACGAGATTTAAAAAAATCCTAGCTTTGCTGATCTAGAATAATTACAGCTTATCCCCTTCATAGTAGGCGAGAAAAGTTCAAAAAATCGCAATAAAACATTTAACAAGATAAAATAATTAAAATACTGTTTAAAATTCTAATTAAAAGTAATTATAAACTGACTTAAGTTATTAACAACTATCATAAACACCTTAAATTACTGGGAGTTTGAATAAAGTTGTAGGAAAGTTATTACTAAACATTTAAATGTTTCACTTGATGCAGCCAAAAATCGTGTATACAGGGTGTTTCCTAATTGAGTAAATTTCTAGGCGTAATCCTAAGCAGATTTTAAAAGATAGGGTTAATATGAACATTGCAAAGTCAAAAATGTTCCTATTCCGATTTACAGATTGTTAATGTTAACAAAATTTTTACGTAGTGTATTTTTTAATTTCTGAACCATGCAAGATATTCTCCATATCCATTTGCTCTATTTACGAACAATTAAAAGTTTAAAAAATTAAATGCGGACGGTAATCAACCATAAAATATGGCAAATGATTATTGTTAATTTAAAAATAAAAGCCAGATGGATCCGATAAACAAAATAATTTTAACGATTTATTAAACGAACACTTTTAATGAACGTTATGTCTTCCTTTAACGGAAGCTGCCTACAAATTTGTAGGCAGCTCATTTTACAAAATTATGATAAAGAATTCGAAACAAGAAAATTTAAAAATTAAAACGACTAAACTTTGTAAACTTTAGCAACCTGTGGATCGGAAACGAAGCAATTTTGACCCATGTTGATATCAAGTTCAAGTCAAATCAGCGAAGGAATCCGCCCTTGAAATGTTGGTACTCAATTTGGAAACACCCGTTTGTAAAGAAAATTGTCACCCTGCATCATGCAAGGAGATTATCTTAAAGTATCTACATTTGCGATGAATATCCAATCGTTATTCTGGATCGTCACACGATGAGAAAGAATTTCTAAATTTCTGAATTCGAGCCAAGAAACTTTAATCATCACAAAATGTCTGCTTGAGTTATAGTAAGCCAAAATAGATCGAAAAGGTGGAAAATTCTAGGAATAAGTTAGCTGGCGCTTTTCGCTAAGTAGGTGGGATTACTAACTTTTCTTACAATCATAGTTAATAAATAATTTTCATCAGTTAATGTAATTAAATGAGCTGTAATTATTTTTACTTATTACCCAAACTTGGGATAATTTTGTAATTGAATATCTTACATACAAAAAAGCGAATTTTAATGAATTTATTTATTTCAGTTCAAAAACACATCTGAACTATAGATTTCTCTTAAAATACATCAGAAATTAAAAACAAAATTTTACAGCTTCATTTCTTTTTAATTTTCTAAGAACAGACATATTTAATTTCAATTAAGCTAAATAACAAGAAGTTTAGTTTGCCTTTGATTTCTATTATATGCTTCTATGTATTCTAGATGTCTGTACAAACTAGTCTGAACAAAAATAAACTAAAGAGGAAAAGACTAGACAATAATTATTTATACCTCTGTAGGCGTCAAGAAAATTAAGAGAAGAAAATGAACTATTTAATCAAAATTCCATCGTTACTATGGACTATGCCAAGCAAGTTTTAAATGAGCAAACATTTTTTAATCGGAAAATGAATAAGGGGATAAAACTGACCCAAATAAAAAGAAATGTTTATATAATCATATGTCCGCAAACGCGTTCCTTATGAAATATAGAGGACAAAGTTAGAAATTTAATTTTTGTTTTTTCTCCTTGCTGTTTCAATTTTGAGATATGTATCCCACATTTGGAACGTAAATGACGCTATAAGGTCTATAAAACAGTTTGTCGATCAATTGTAAGAATCTATATAGGGTAATTTTTTTGTGATACGTACGATGTTAAATATTAATAAATTTGTTTTTCATTCCTTGTTCAAATTATAAAATTCCTTTAATTTTGCAATAAATAATTACTTCTAATTATTACTTATAATTAATGAATACGCATGGTGTGTAATTTTGCAAGCGTTAGAACGATACAAAAGATTTGCCGCTGTCCTCAAATAAATTAGAGCACCATATTTTAAGCAATTACTGCAAAAACTACAATATTTTTGAGTTTAAACAAAAAATTAATTGATTTAAAATTTTTTCACTCTGTATCTCGGAAACTTTTCTACTTATTTATATAAATCCTATTACTACTATCAGCTTCGCAATTCTAAATGGAACTTTTCTGTAGATATTTTAAAATTAATACATATTTCAAAATTGAAATATTTTGCCTTCCTGAAAAATTCTACCAACATAAGTTTACATGCTCTTCGCGTGTACACCTCGACATCGTACAAGAATAAATCTGAAAAAATTACGGTGAATATGAAGTTAAAAATCTCAATTGACACCAATTTTTCAAATTTTAAAAGTACTCACCCTGTATATCGAAGGTTAATTAATATTGATGACTGGCCCAACATCCGGGGGGGTGTAAAAGAGACAGCGACACGAATTTCTCTGTCTAGCTACACCCGCGTCCAACATCAACTACATAGCGCTGGCAAATAGCTCTGAGGAAGCTGTGCCAAAGATAAAGAAGAAGAAGAAGAATTCCATAACCTCATTCATGCCTGGTTCAAAACAACCACAAAACCAGAGACAAGACTTGCACAACACAACTGACAACAACATAAAAACATATATGCACGTGTTTTTGTTTTTCTAAATTAAAAATGGATTCATTAACCGAAAATAGGTAAAAATATCTTACATGACATTGTTGTAGTTGTTTGGTTATCAAACTTTTATTGTTTTAGTGATATCAAGGAAGAACCTGACGTCAAGAGAATGAAAATTGAAACACCTACTGTTGGTGAGGGTTTCACAATTTTAAAGGCATTTAATAGTGTCGACAAAAAAAGTAAAGTGAGTATTTAGATATTTGCATTCTCCAAACTTGTATAGTTTCAGCCACTAGCTAGCAGGGTGTCAATAAAGATTTGAGATTTTTCTGTATGTGTACTTATGTGCCATAAATTAAGTAAATACATGTTATTTTCAGGTGAAAAGAGTGCTGCCGAGATGGTTAACAACACCTCAAATAATTTCTGTTAATCTGCAGAACCTAGAAACAAAGGTTTCCGATCTTAAACAATTGGATAAAAGTATTCGGCGCCTTCTGATTGCAAATGGGGTGATCAGTCTATTTCCTGTACAAGCTGAAGTCATTCCTTGGCTTATAGAGAGTAACAGGTACGTCCAAACGACGCTTTTATATTTTAAAAGTTATTACAATTGATAATGTTTGAAAATTGCTCCTCTTAGAAAACCAGTTCTGGACATGTACCAAAAAACTGGAAGTATTGTTTAATTGCTTTTTCAAAATCGAGGTTGGATTGATAGTATTTCAAATCAATCTAACGTTCGTTTTTAGGTAATGAATATAATTCGCACGTTTTTTAACACACATGAACTCTAGCAAGTGATTTCTTAATTTTAGACTTGCCGAAATCAGATTTTAGTTTATGATCAATAACTTACTAAGCTAATAATTCAACAGTAAACTAGGCATGTCATTGTTACTTTGCCAACTAAAAACTCATCTGAATGTATTTCTTCTAGGCAATCTGATGTTATGTTCCCACGTGATATATGTGTATCAGCACCAACGGGAAGTGGAAAAACGCTGGCTTTCGTTTTACCAGTAATACAGATCTTAAAGAAACACAAAGTTAAGAAAATTAGAGCTTTGGTGATTTTACCGACCCAAGATTTGGCCAGGCAGGTTTTTGCAGCTTTTAAGACATATTCTGAAGGAACCACCATCGATATTTGTCTTATCACAGGACAGCACAGCTTTGAAGTTGAACAAAAACAGATCCGATCTAAAAGTTAGTGGTAATTATATACATATTTTAACAATACACTTTTTATTTTACTTTAGAATCGTGATGATGAATTATTTGGCCTTAACTTATTTTTTATTTTCTGGTTGCTTTGCACTGGACTGTTTTGTATTATTATTGTCCATGCAGAAGCTATTCCCGTAAAATCTTCATATCTGCACCCTTAATGACGAAAGTAACATTTTTTGCCAAAAACAACTCATAATAAAACTTCAAATACAATCTGCAAATATTTTAGACTGTTTGTAATACTTAATATTTATCTTTAGAAAAAGTAAATTGTTTGCGATTGTATCATTGTAATGTGTGCATTCTTTATTCAGATGAGGCTTTTGGTTATCTCACAAAAGTCGACGTCCTGGTTTGCACTGCTGGTAGACTAGTAGATCATCTGAAATTAACTGAGGGGCTGGATTTAGAGTTTCTTGAATTTCTTATTATTGATGAGGCCGATCGAGTTCTGGAAAGTGTGCAAAACGATTGGCTGTACCATTTGGAAAAGCACATTTCACCTGATGGTAAGTTGCATTAGCGTCTTTATGAGTACACTACACCATTTTAATGCCCTTAAATACTGTTTCCAATTACTTTCTGCATTAATTGGTAATTCTATGTTGAAGATCGTCAATTTATTTTGTACTGAATTTAAAACGAAATGTCTAAATGATTCAAGTGCGGACACCTTGGTAGCGGAAATGCGCGTTCTATTTTTCCGTAAAAATACAACGTGTACTTATTGGAAAAACAATTATCAAACAACAAACGATTTATTATTTCTATGCCTGATGATTGCAACCAAAAAATTCAACTGTTGTAGGTTCCTCCAGAACCCTGAATCAATTCACTTTACAAAAGAAGCGGCCACCACAAAAGCTCCTGTTTTCCGCCACTTTATCCCAAGATCCGGAAAAACTGCAGCAGTTATCACTTTTCCAACCCAAACTCTTTACTTCCATTGTCGACTCAGCCGATGACCCAACTGTAAAGCCGGAAGAAGTGAATAGTGATAAGTTTATCGGAAAGTACACCACACCGAATGAGCTTACAGAACGATATATCGAGACGTCAATAGACTTAAAACCGCTGGTGTTGTTTAAATTCATTAAACAAGAAGAATTAAGAAAAACATTGGTGTTTACGCATTCAGTGGAGAGCGCACACAGACTGACAATTCTTTTAAAAACAATGTTTGGAAAAGAGCGAGTTGTTCAGGAAATTTCCTCGCAGTTGCAACCCAAGAGTAGAGTAGCTCTGATTAATGAGTTTTCAGAAGGAACGCTTGACATGTAAGTAATATTTACTTTGTTAGTGTATATAAATATACTAAATATAAATTTTATTTCTAGCCTTATATCGACCGATTCTTTAGCAAGAGGAATTGATCTACCAGGTGTACAATGCGTAATTAATTATTCGGCGCCCAAATATTTGAAGTCATACATTCATCGAGCCGGAAGAACCGCCAGAGCTGGTGTTCAAGGTCTAGCTGTTACCTTTCTGCATACATCCCAGTTGCCCAAGTTTAAAAGTTTGCTAAAACAAGCAGACAAACATAATGTTGAAGAGGTAGGATTTCGGACAAATTCTAAGCATCTACTTGGCAGTATAATAATTTGAAATAAAAAATTAATTAACTTGATTATATTGTTTTGTTAGATAAAGATATCTGAAGAGGATTTGGAACCTCTTGGGGAGCAGTACAGGAAATCTCTGAATGAATTGAAGGCAGTTGTAGATAAAGAAGAAAAACTCGATTTGCAGAAAATTAAATCTGCCAAGCGGTCAAAACCCAAGTTTAAAAGAAAAAAGGCTGATCGTGTTGGTAAGAAAGCAGTATAATGTAAAATTCGAAAGTATATTTTTGTTGGATTATTTTTGTTTGTTTGACATACCCATGCCCAGACTTTTTATTTAATATATCATTCGGTGTGTTATAAATCATTAAATAAAAAAAACACCATTTAAATCGTGTTTCTGAAAAGGACGTCCTTTACTGAATTATAATTCTTAATTTTCTGTAATTATATGGGACCTTTAGCCGTACGGTATTAAGGAATATGCAAAAATTTGCATTATTTCACTCAGAAAAATGAAGACAATTGCAACAAGACTTCTCAACAAAACGTTTCACAGCCTCTTTTTTTTAATGTTTTAAAATACTGTTTAACTTAATACCTTCACTCGATCAAAAAAAAAAACAAATATGTATCATAATTTGGGAAAAGATGATGAATATCGACAATAAAGCGAAACAAATATTTGTTGGTGTACCAAAATAGTAGCGTGATTTTTAAATTAAACAAAGACGGTAGTGCTAAAAATTAGACTTTGTAGCCCTAGAACTTTTTAGTATGGGAACCACCGCGATCGATATTTGGAAAACTATAATTAGGAGATATTTAAAATTGTACAGTATACCGAAGTTACGGGGGGCAAGCGATCTAAAATATTTTCAAGATCACACTTCCGGTTATACCGGAATAGATATCAACTTACTTATTTTAAATGGAGCACCCTATATGTTAATACATTTTTCATTTCTACTCCAAATTTGAAATATATTTCGTGTATGATATCTAATACCTAAATCACTAACGTTTTACCACTTTGTCGAAAGTATATATTAACACCTGACACAGTTAAAAGTTTATTTTTAATAGTGGAAATATGAGTTATATTTTCGGTATTATCCAATGTTTATTTGAGTGTCGATTAGAAATATGTTTTAATTTTTTGGCGAGTAGTAAGAGTAAAGTACATTTGTTCTTTACAGTTGTGTGCGCTATTAAAGTATTTTTTCACAGTTTTGATACTATACTTTGTATAAATTAAGCGGTTTATTTGTTCTAAAACAAGCTACAGTTATTGCTAATTGTTTCAACCTATATCAATCACGGCTATAATTCATGAAATTGTTGACTATAAAGAACGTGCAATTTTACGTCTAAATGTAAATTATATTGCAAATATTACATTCATTTTTTTAATTCACACTTTCCAAGTAGTTGTGGGTTTTTATTTCAACAGTTAATAATCAACTTAATACTGGCAGCGGATAAACGGAACAGTTACAAAGTTCCCACATAAAATATTTAAAGCAGAATTGTATATCGGAAAAAAGTTATCCAAGTTTAAAGTTGTATTGTCTCTATTTGGATGACCTTGAACTAATGAAACAACACGTAATATTCAGGCACTTTTCTGCATTTCTGTTCCCTTATTTCAATAGCATTTTTGTTGAACAACCTTTATGAGCGTATGTCATAATAAGCAGGATCTAATAATGTTTTACTGAAATCTGCTTCCTTAAATTTACCCAGTTGAAAGAATGTCTACAAAGACATTCTAAATTAACTAATTATTCTAAACTAGTAGCCGTTATGCACTGAACATATCAATTAACGAGTTATATCTGCTATTTTATCAAAGTTGCGTTATACGTATTGGTAATTATTTACCTACATACATATTAATATTATTCTAATGCGCGAATTTTGAAAAACAACCTTTTTACGCTAACATAAATACACGCATAAATGTTATTCAGTTTTGTCATTGCGAAATATTCACTAAAATGGTTATCAGTCGATTTTTTAGAAAGCATCTATTTACAAACTTTGACCTAAATTGCCTCGGAATATTATATGAGAAATGTTTTCGACGTTTTCTTTCAGGTTAATCAGTTTTTTCGGTGACAATGATATTTTCGCTCTAGTTGGGGGGCTGTTTGCAAAGAATTTAATTAACCTAATTTTAATTTAGCTAGTGGCTGAAAATTGGTTACTTAGTTCAGTTTAGTCGATAGAGTGTGCTCAATTTTTTTTATTGGCGCTCAGTAAAGCCAATTATAAAGTTCTTTTATCATTTTTCTTTACTTTTTTTAAGTATCTCGTAAAACTAATATGATTATTCGTGTATTTCAAGTAAAAACATTTTCGGTTCTCTTTTTAAATTTTATGGTATTTATGCTTGATTGAAGCTTATTATCCACATTTAAAAACTAGACTTTCTGAAGTGGTTATAACTACATATTTAAAAAAAATACATTATATTCTGATAAAATATAAAAAAATCGTGGTTTCTGGTTAAAGTCCATGATCAACATATTGATGGGGTAGCGGAAATCATTCGCTAATTTTAATTAATCATCAAATCGCATATTTAATGTCGTATTATGCATATTTGCAAAAAAATAGTTTTTTGGTTATTTCTATAAAATATGTCTATGTTTCTAATGTTTTCATTATCCAGATTGAGAGATACAAAATTTTGGAGTGCTGTGGACTTAGTTTTGAGTTATGATACATTATCTAATGTTGATTTTACTACTTCCATTCCTAAACCCACCTATTTTCGTCAGACTATGGTAAACATAATTTACTATGAAACATTTTGTAATTTTATAAAATTTACATTTTAGAAAAAAAATTATAAAAAGTCCTCTGTCGTTTTCTATCATCTTCTGATTGCTCTAAGTTCCCCTTACTGAAAACGTAGTTTTTATAGTATATGTGTCAATAATAAAAGTTAACACATGAAAAATTATTAAAGGTTAACTACCATACAAGGATCCGTTCTCACTAATCATAGCTTCTTTGCGGAAATGTGGTAACTTGTGAAAATCATCGAGTAACACGAAAAAGATTAATTGCGCAGATTAAAAATTAATTTGATTATTTGGAGCAACAAAATTTGCAATTTTGAACAGTTTCTACTAATATTTGAATGTACATTTCTTTCACTTGTTTCGGTTTGAGTTTTGTTTATATTTTATCAATTGCAGTAGGACTCATTCAATTATATTCAATAATATTCACTGCATTCATAAACTAAAGTGCTGGCAGGAGGGACTTGTATGTATTTCCGCTTATAAATGCGGCGAGACCCAGAAAAGAACTAGGAGTTACTTATCTTGAAAAATCCCGATTATTATAACTCGATTTCTGGACAGGAATTTCATGCGTCATTCACTTAACAGCAAGTCAGGATTAGAAAGTGTTGTACGCAATATATAAATCTAAAGCAATTAGCGCAGGTCTCTTTTAAATGTATTTTACATAATAAGCTGAATTACGTAAGTACTTTAAATTGATCAAAGCATCTGCTAAAATAAATTTGTCCCACCGTGTAAAATGGACGGGTTTCAATAACAGCCGCTAATAACATTTAACTGGGAATTTTGCATAACAATATGGGGCCGTAAATTTTTTATGTTCACATTGTTGGTCTCTGGTACGTGATGGAACGGCTAATATCGGTGTGATATTAATTTTTGTTTTTTAATTGTATTTATTACTAAACAATAATGGGTTCCGGTAGAAATCGAAATTTTATAAACAACTACCTATGTATGCAATAGCGATTTTTACAACATAGGGGTACTTAATTGAATCTGAATCGTGCAACCTTACTGCCACCATGTTAGGTAAATGGTCAGGTTTACTGTTTCACGTAAAATCCCGCTGATTTCTAGAAAACGGGCTTACCTTGTAGTCGCAAATATCGAAGTATTTGAATGTTTATTAACCAGTTTGCCCACAATACAGTTTGCTTAAATTAGCTTAAGTATAGCAAAATTGTATCAATTCAATACGGTAAATCGGTTGACTGACAAAATAGGTCTTGAATGGCATCTAGTTAATTGTTTTGGGAAATACTTCTTTTAGAAGAACGAGTTACGTTAAGCAGAAATGACAATTTTTTATTCAATTAAAAACCGCTTAATTAAAGCTTATTTAATCAGGCATTTAATTGAGTTCTGCCGAATGACTCGGTCGTTCTTGTGACATTGTCTTAAATGCAGCTTCTGCACCTAAATCTCAGAAAAACGAACAACCCAATGATAAGATGCATTTTAACTCTCTAGCCAAGTGAAAAATAACAGCACACTTAATTTGAACACACTCAATTACGTCATTTTATTAAGGTTTTTACATCTGGATATATAAATTGTTTTAAAATATTTTTTTCTGTATATTTTCGATAGTTATTTTTTTAACTTGTAACTTTAGTTTTTGTTGTGCACAATGAATACGAAACTAATTTCATAATGTTCTGTGGTCGTTTTTGAAAATGACAATTTCGAATATATTTTAAATCCCAATTCTATTGTAATAAAACTTATAAAAATATCTAACTCAGATCCTTGTATTGTGTCCTCAAGTATGGTTTAATTAATAAAATAAATGAATAATAAGTTGATGACAAAAGTGACCTTATCATTTAAAATCGAAGCTCGAAACTTGGCGACTATAAAATGTTTTTGTCACCTGAAAACAATCATCTATTAGAGCATCATTATTAGATCAAGGTGCATTCTGGTTTAATTATTTTTAAAGCAACGCAATCTTTGCACGTGCTGTAACATTTTCCATGAAGTTTGAATGTTTAGCATTTATCTTTTTAACATTTACAACACGCGATTTTGCGAATAATTTGCACTTCTTAGTCAAAATCAAACATACATATATACCTACTGAAGATATAAACACGAATTTTTTACAGGTAAAAGAAAATAATATTTTAAATGTCCAGAAAAAATGCATTACTTGTGTATATGAAAAATCGTCAAAATGTCCTTTATATGTCCCACAAGCTATGTAGAATGTAGGTTAAATGTAGTTTAATATTACTTTAATAATCAGCCAAATTTTTGAAGAGTTAATAGTAAACGCATTATTCTGGTACCTGCTAGTAGTTAGGTAGGTAATGCAGCACATTTACTTCTGCTGAAAAGTAGAACAAATCTCGTAAATCTGCTCAAACGGTTTGAACTTGCAAATATTTGATTTTAAATTCATACGTTTAAGAAACCAGAAGACAATTATAGTGCAATGTAAACAATTTAGTTTTTTTATTAGTTAGCGCAATTT